GGGGCGGGGGTTGGTGGGGCCGGCGCCTGACAGAGCAGCCTGCGGCTGCAGCTCGGACCTCCCGGGACTGGTTAGTCCGTGCCCCGTGCAGGGGAGGGGGCCAGAATAGCCCCCAGCGCCACTCCAGGGCCGCCCCCACCCCTTGCCCAGGCTCTGCTCTGCTTTCTGCTGCTTGCCCTTGCACACCACGGTACAGGCTGGGGACGGCTGGGGCAGGCGGCTGCAGCTCGGACCTCCCGGGACTGGTTAGTCCGTGCCCCGTGCAGGGGAGGGGGCCAGAATAGCCCCCAGCGCCACTCCAGGGCCGCCCCCACCCCTTGCCCAGGCTCTGCTCTGCTTTCTGCTGCTTGCCCTTGCACACCACGGTACAGGCTGGGGACGGCTGGCTAAGCAGCAGCTCTGCAGAAAAGGACGTTGGAGGTTACAGTGGACAAAAAGCTGAATATGAGCCAGCAGGGTGCCTTTGTTGCCAAGAAAGCTAACGGCATACTGGGCCACATTGATAGGAGTGTTGTCAGCGGATCAAGGGAAATTATTATTTCCCTTCATTCAGCACTGGTAAGGCCACATCTGGAGTACTGTGTCCAGTTTTGGCCCCACCACTACAAAAATGATGTGGACAAACTGGAGACAGTCCAGCGGAGGGCAACAAAAATGGTGAGGGGGCTGGGGGACATGGCTTCTGAGGAGAGGCTGAGGGAACTGGGCTTATTTAGTTTAGAGAAGAGGAGAGTGAGGGGGGAACTTAATAGTGGCTTTCAACTACCTGAAGGGGGTTCCAAAGAGGAGGGAGCTGGACTTGTTCCCAGTGGTGGCAAATGACAGAACAAGGTGCAATGGTCTCAAGCTGGAGCAAGGGAAGTTTAGGTTAAATATTAGGAAAAACTCTGACTAGGAGGGCATTAAGACACTGGACCAGGTTACCCAGAGAGGTTGTGGAATCTCCGACTTTGAAGGTTTTTAAGACCCGGCTAGACAAAGCCTTGGCTGGGATGATCTAATTGGGGATGTCTTGCTTTGAGCAGGGGGTTGGACTATATGACCTCTTGAGGTCCTTTCTAACCCTTATTTTCTGTGATTTTCTCTGCCACTGTGCTGCCTGCTCCCTCCCCAATTTGACCTTTGCCGCATACATAAGCTGCCCATGACTCTTGTGACACCCATGCCACAGCTTGGCCACCCCTACCCTGCTTTCTGCCAAAACTTCAGGCACAGCTGACTGCCTGTCTGTAGCAAACCAGAAATAATTCTTGTTCAGCTCAGAAGTCACAAACAGCTGATGCTTACCTGAAACCTTTTTAACTTTTTCCAGTCAGCGACAATTCACCCCTGGAAGAATCAAGGCTAAATACTTATTGGTACAGAATACAGTGGTATAGGGCATGACTGTCCCAAACTCATTCCTGATTTTGATGATTGGCCTGCTGTGCTCTTTTGTACCATACCAGAGGTGTCAACCCTGGCCTCCTCTCCACCTTGGCTATGCCAGGATCATAGATATGACCTAGCCAATTTAAAATCTCATGCAAAGCCTGAATCAGGCTGTTCCTGCTTTGACTGCTTCTTGAACTAGGACTTTCTCTTGGAAAATCCCCCTACATGTTTCATGTCTGCAACCTTTGCTGCCAGCCTTTTGCCATCACCTACTCCCAACCTATCACCATCTACTACATATGCCAATTCCAGCCTCCTGCACCAACAACTAGAACACAAGGTACTGACCTCATTGCTCTGTAGGCTCAGTCAGGTTCTATGGGTACTTAGGGGAAAAAAAACAGAAAGAACCAACTGTCTACAAAACCAGTGCATCACAGGTGACTCCACCAGGCTACCTGCAGGATGCCCACAGTAGGGCAGAACAAAGACACAGGACTTCCAGTGGTGTAAAGGGCCCAGAAACCCCTACAGCTGCTTAGTCATGTGGCCCTCTTATGAGGCACATGATGTGGTTTTGGCAGATGACGCCAGTATCAAGCCATGATTTGTGACCAGCTGCAGCAGTGACCCTAATGAGGGGCATGGAAGTTCTCTGCAAAGCCAGGACCTGTCGTCACACAGGGGCCTTAGCTAATACCCAAGCAAATCCAGAGGACACTGGAACGAAAATCATGTTGACACAACTCAAGTCACCTGGGGATTTGCTGAGCATACTGCAGCCCTCTGATAGCATCATTTTTAGGGGTCAGCAGCATGTAAGCTGGAGTACCCCAGCCTGTTTCTACTTTCCTGGGGAGAGAGCTCTTTCTGGGAGCTGATCTCTTGTGTCCCTGTCTTTTTGCCTTGATGCTTCAGACCATGCAGTGGACAGCGGAGCTGCTTCTCTGAGGCCCTGAATGACCCCACTACCATCAGGTTTGAAGTCCATTTGCTGTACATATTTTTCCCCATCTTCTTTTTTGCCTCCATACCTGTTGCATGCTGATGCAATTCACTTTGCTCCCTTGTTTATTGGCACTTTGTGCTCACAGTTCTTTTTATTACCCCATGCTCCTGGTGGATGTTACCAAACCATTCATTTCACTTTGTGTGTATGTGGTTTTGTTGTTTTTTTCCCCATAAACACCAGTAGTTTGTTTATTCAGCGAGCTTTATTATTACTGTTTCTTCTGTACATAGATCCCAATGTGGGTCCAGCTACAGAAAAGCTCATGGTTAGAGCAATTGTGCCCCTTGGGGATGTTGACTGCATCTTGCCCTTCCTCAAGGTAGCCAGTGAAGATTACCTTGAGTCTTCACTGCCCCTTGTCAATGCCATGGAACAATAGGTCTGGGCAGTTAGATTACCAGGAGATCCACTAAACCACTTCCTCATATCCCTCACTCACTGACACAGCCTTGTCCTGCTAATGTACAGAATGCAACAGGGCAGTGACCTTGTGTAAACATGATGGTCAGATGCATCCAGCCAACCAACAGGCAATCTCCGGCTGGCCTTGAGCCAGCCAAAGGAATATTCTGCTGTCATCCTGCAGGTCACAATCTCTACTTCCTGGGACTGAGTATTCTGTGTACAGCTTCATGGGCCACAGGAGCATGGGTAGTCTGGGTCACTAAGGTAAGCAGGGGCAGAGTCACATTGTTGAACTCAATGATAGGAGTGGCCAGTAAGCAATCCTTATCTCAGCATGGAGAGCAGGGCTAAGCTGTGGAAAGCCTGGAGTTTTGCATGTTGGTGGAGCAGCCAGAAGTGGCACATGTGAATCACCCACAGTGGAGTACTACTGTGAAATACAGCCAAGTAATAACCTTTTCTGTGGATGTGCTCTGGGCCCTGGCTGTAGGGGCAAGATCATGTTGTGTGCCATCGATTGTCCTGATGCAATTAGAAAACCTCATGTGCATGAAGCCATCAGTCACCTCCTGGATATTTGAAAACTGGAATGAGCAACTTCTTGAGGGCTGCTCTCACCTTACACAGAGCTGGTCTAGCAGTAGATTTCCCTATGCTGAACTGGCTGGCTGTAGATTGGTGGCAGTCAGCGGTTGCTAGGTTCCAGATTGATAGCACCTCCTTCCTCACACTCAAAAAGACTCTCATATAGGTGGTCTGCTTCCTTTACTCTGGGGCCAGCTCTGCAGAGAATGTGGCCTCCTTTATCTTCAAGTTCTCCCAACACTACAGATCATCTCATGGGTGCAGCACTACACTCTCCCACCTGCCTGTTTTTCCTTGCATACAGAATCAGTGATAAATGATTTTCAGATGATGCTAAATCCTCCTTCATGTTGATGATTTCTTTTCCCAAGAACACACAGGTACCAGGCAAAAAGCATGCTGTGCAGGTCCACTGGGAACTTTGAAAGAGCTTTGTCAACCACAGCCTCTCTTCTCTAATTCCTATGAGTCACCTTGCCCAACAGATCATTTGTACAAGTGAGAATAATGAGGTAATTGTGAATATGGTGATACAACGCTGCGCACATTGCCAGAAGCAGACTGTTTTATGGTCAGCAAGTCAAAGAGCTTGAGGCAATAGGCTCTGTGATAACCACATGTGGTGTGAAATGGTCCTGTCACCCTGGTTCACTGTTACTGATAGCTTGTTAGTGACCAGCTTGTTGAAGCTTGAGACTTTTAAGTGCCTCAGGCCTAATATCCCAGAGTTCAGGATGATTTCTGTGTGACAAGGGGGTGGGGCTGAAAGGTGGGGAGCGGGCTGCAGTGGCCACCAAGTACCACCAAGTACCTGCAACACCATCCGTTTGTATGAAACAGAGTAAGCCCTGTCTCATGTGAATGCACTAAGCTAGTATAAGTAAGTGATACTCCTGCATCTGTTAGCTTCTGGGGTGATCCAATTTCACACTGGCATACAAACTGGTTTTACCCTGTTCTGTTTGGCACCTTCATTTATCCCCACCTCTGGGTATGTTGTGGAAATTAAAAAATTGTTCATTCCTGTTCCTCCTCCTAATAGTTGCTTAGTAGAGAGAGGAGGATTAATCCAGTAGCTTGGTAGAATTCTCAGGAAGATTGTGTCTTTGCATTCACTTAGTTTTGGTGTAATGAAATAGGTGCTGAGCATCAGGAAGACTGTTGATCAAAACAAAACATGTTTTACAAAGCACAGGAGACTGTAAAGAGGCATTAAATTTATAAAAGCAACTGAGGGTTCTCTTGGGGCAATAATGAACAGATTACAGGTCTATGAATACTGTTGAAGTTCCTTTGGAAAACTGCCTTGATATAATTAACATCAATGTTGAAAGCCCACTGGGACAAAATCAAAAAGCAATTCAGGGCAGCTGTGTAACTTGAGCTTTGGTGTAGGATGAAGCAGCTAAACTTACCTGATAAGTGAGGGTGCTGGTTTTCTCTGATGAAAAAAATCCCCAAATTTTCAGATTATAAAAATCCCAAATCCATATTTTTCTGTGATTAAAATAAAATGGTGTTTAATTTTAATCACAGAAAATTATCAATTTTTTCTGTGATTCACATTTTTCTGTGATTAAAATGAAAAACCACTAATATCTATATATCTCACTGTTAGCAGGGAACATTTAAATCTTTCAGACGCTTGAAGGGGTAGTGGCTGCCTCTGTGCTAACAACCTGTCCTGTGGTAACTATTTCCCACCATTAACTTCATTAAGATTTACATCTTCTGGTAGAGGTTTTCTAGATAATTAGACCTGGTCTAGATGCTTGGTTCTTGTCTTTTTCAACAAAACCACTAACCTCTCGATTAGTATTTGTATCGCATTCATATCTAGAAGTCATACCTGACTGAACCATATTATACCAGACACTGTATGTATGGCAAAGGCAGTCTGCCAAATAGCTTTCCATATGAGTAACTTAAGAAAAGATGTGACATAAGTAAACCAAACAAGTAAGGGGAGAGGGAAGGAAAAGAGCAGGAAAACAGTAATATGAGTGTATGCTACACAGGCTAATGGAGGATGCACCATTGAACAGAGGACATAAGCAGCTCAGATTGCTTCCTGCCTATCAGTCATTGGATGGCAGCAATAATTACAGTATTAATGAAACGTAGAGTACCTTAGCTGCATACCTCAGACCAAAAGAATCCAGGGTAAGACTTAAGTGATTGCTCCTATACCTCAAAGCTCCCTGACAACAGCTGGAAAGATATGACAAGGGACACTGCCTGCACTTAACTCTTCTTTATCCCCACTTTCAACTAACGAGACAGGCCTCTTCACCACTGAAGCTGCTAGACTAGGCAAGCTGTTCTTTATTAGTTTGAGTTTATTGATTGCTGCCAACAAAACATCCCCAGGTCCCTAGTCATGCCAGGGGGGCAAATTCCAGGCAACTAAAAGTTCAAGGGAACTCAATAAATTAGTAAAACATTTAACAAACTGAGAGAGAGTTCATTTCAACAGCACAAGCCTGAACTCATTGTTACACAAGCTGGAAATGCCTATGCTTAGCTACAAACACTGGTAGAAAGCATCAGCACAGGGCAGAGTTACAAACTCTAGGTCTAAAGTACAACCCATGTGAAGGTCCAGGAGCAGATTCTATAGTTCTAGAGTCTGCAGAGATGGAAAGAACCACCAGGCTGGAGGTGAGAAAAGATCCTCAAACGGTGGAGGGAGAAACAAGGCTGTCTCAGTTGGGACTGAACATGAAGCCCCAGGGTAGCAAAGACTACAAAATACAGCCCTTTCTTCAACACTATTACACAGAAACATCAGCAGTGTCCCAAGGCAACTATCTGGTCTACACATCCCCTACAGAGAAACATGCAATGTCCTAGGATTTTGCAGCGATCTCTAAAAACTTTGGAACATCAGGAAGTGCAGGGAGCCCCACCATTGGTCCCAACAAAATGTAACATTTTAGACACTGAAAAGCAATTAATTTGGACCCAGGGTCCAAACTGGGCGCCATAGAAACAGTTAAAATATCTAAGGCTCCCCAAAATATTTTAGGAGATAAAACATAAAAACTATATAATCCATTTCAGGTGCATGTTTATTTCTCCTATGCCAAAATCACCTGTCTAGGACTAGAAAGAAATATGTTTATCACATTACTTGCTTTGTCAGGATCTAAAAAGTTGCATTTTGTTTGGCTAAATTTGAATATAGTATAAGCATGTACTACGGATGCTGAGCTGGTTCGATGGAAGTGCTTTTAACCACTGACAATTCTGAATTCAATTGGAACTTTACTGCCAGAATTTTCCAAAATTCTGATGAAACAAAATGCCACAACTTTCTTTGCAAGCACAGACACAGGGTCCAATCCCAGATCTTCAGGTTTAAATGCTGGTAGGACAAAACACTCGCAATTGTGCTCACTCTCATCAAGCAGGGATCCTAGTTTTCTCTCATAAAAAAAAATCCCCAATTTCCAAATTAAAAAAAAAAAGTTGGTCAAAATCAAAGGGAAGGGACCTCGGAAGATCATCGAGTCCAGCCCCCTGCCCAAAGGGCAGGAAGTCAGCTGGGGTCATAGGATCCCAGCAAGATAAGCATCCAGTTTGCTCTTGAAGGTGTTCAATGAAGGCGCTTGAACCACCTCCGGTGGCAGGCTGTTCCAGACCTTGGGGGCTCAGACAGTAAAGAAATTCTTCCTTATGTCCAGCCTGAAACGATCTTGAAGTAGTTTGTGACCATTCGACCTCGTCATCCCTTGGGGCACTCTGGTGAACAAACGTTCCCCCAGATACTGGTGGTATCTTACGTTGCTTTCTTTTAGTCATTATTTGTAGCAAGCCTTGCTTCTTTGTCAATGAATTTCATGCTTGCGCACTGTGGTAGCCCCATATTGCCAGCTGCCCTAATGTTTGATGTAGTCCTGTAAAATCCCAGCTCCAGGTGTCTGATGCGGGAAGATGTAGGAATCTCAACTTGCAATTTTGCATAAACAATCCT